TCCCTTTTCCCTGTTAAACTGCAAAAATACTGCAGTAGTAAACGTGTAAGGCCCAACAAGCTTCATATTTTACAGTGAATCAAACATCTTGTACAGCAACAGTGGGGAAATTTAGGCCTAAAAATAACATTTTCTACACAAATAAACCTCCATAAACTGTCTTAGCCCACAGATTGAGTTCTGAGCATTAATTTGACAAAAACAACCCCCACCCACTCCAAAACAGAAGAAGTGAAGAACCAATCAGCTGGTCTAGATGCACAAAGAAATTATTCCAAGCAAAGATGGGTATTAACACTCACAGGAAGTCAGAGCAAACAAAACAAAAGACTTCAGCTGAGATCAAACAAGCGTTAAATCCTCTGACTGTGCGAGTTTGTCTTTTTCCACCCGCTACACACAAACTGTTTCATCTATCACATTAATTTAATTCATGACCTTAAACACTGTTCTCAGTGACATTAAAAAGGAATGGAAAGGTCTTGATGCAAATTAAATAAAATCCTCCGGAAATCGCTGCAGATGGCGCCGAGACAAAATATCATCAACCTGCCGCCACTTAGAACAGCGAGGGCTCGTTTTCCTTCCTTCCTCACTTCTCGTGTCGTTCTCATCTCTTCTCTTTTTACTTATTTTTAAACACGTTTTAAAATTTCTGGTATTTCTTAACATACTTTTACATTTCTGTCTGAAAACGTTAAGAAAGTGCTATCCATAAAATTTTCGATTCTTTTATTATTTCGAAACGAGGAGCAATCTGACATTTTGTTCTGTCAGAAAAGAGTCAAAAGCCAAAAGATAAACAGGAGTAAAAGGTTCAACTCTGAATTTTTCACTTTTTTTCTTGAAAAGTGACCAGAAACAGTTACTAACCTGGTGATGGGGTAATTTATGCCCAGGGTCTAAAACCCCAAAAGAGATTATTTGCAGTGAAAAGCAGCTCTTTAGAGAAGCTAGAACTGGAACATTTTTACATGTAAATGGCCTTAACAGTAGATGAGTAACAAGAAGACAACAATACCGCAGCCTTCTGGGTGAATGCACGCCATCTGTACTGACACTCAATATTAAAACGCCTTCATAAATTCATTTTTTACCATCTCCCAAATCCTGTCCACTTAAAAATCTACCTATAAGCAGCTCACTGCCCTACATTTTTCATAAGCAGGCTACAGACAAAGGATTTCAGGATGACTTTTAACAGCCGAGAGGACGCAGTCTTGTGATTGTGAGTAAGCAGATAATGGGCACAGCGAGAGGACCCGTCTTAGCTGCTCTAAGCTGCTGTTGTGGCGTACAGAGAGAGGCCTCTGTCTGCTGCAGATCTGCTGAAGACAAACAGCTAATGAGCTTAACTGAGAGAGCGAGCCAGAAGCTGCCACGCCAACAGGTCTCTCATAAGGAGCTGTCGAACGAGCTTAAACAAAGCAGCTGAAGTACACATTCCTGAAAACAACTCTCTCTGGAACACATCTGGATGAAGATGAATAAAAGCGACCATGAACGTGACTCGGTGCTAACAGTCTCCCAAATCAATCTGAAGTAGTTCAACTACATCAACCTGATTAAGTTTAAACCCTCTGCTGCACCACTGGCAGCAAAGCTAAAGATCTCATTTATTAAAGATATTTTTAATGTTCATATATTTTTTATGATAACCAGTAAGATTTCTAAAAATAATGAACATTTAAGAGGCAATTTTAGAGGTTTTATGAGTTTTATAAATGATTCAGACTCATTAGAGACTGTAAAACGTTCAATAGAATATATAATCACAATATAATCACATTTTGATTGCTTGCTTTACGAAAAATGTGTCAAATGTGCCCAAGAATTACAGACCCAAATGTAAATAACTTCATTATTACAGAAGATGAGTATTAGGGAAAGTTTAATTAGGATGTCAGCTGCACTAAAATAAAGAAGGACGAACAGACTGAACAGGGCAGTACCTATATTTTCAAACTGACCACACAACACAGCTCCAACACATTTCATGTTTGTCGAGCCGTCCGACCTCTGCCTCCAATTGCATCAGACCTACGGCCGCTCTCCTTCATCCACGCTTCGCCCTTCTCCACCTCTTACCTCCTCCGGCCTGAAATCTCCCCCTGACTGAATATTTAACCGATCCAACATTTATTTATATCTGACATCAATCTGATCCCAGCTCAAAAAGCTCGACTGAGCATCACGACAACAGACCAGTCGATTCAAATCAATTCTATGTTGTTGTTATTTTTACACTTTTTTATTATCGAATTATTTGGGGGGGATTTGTGACAGCAATGATAAAAAAGTGATATTTGTGAGGTAAATGTTTCTGCATTAATGTCCTTCAGAAATCAAAATGTGGGTGGTAACGTAAACAAATAGTGATGCTTGGACTGTGGTCTTTGCTTGGCATTATCATAAAGACAAACACGCTTTTCAGTATTAGCTGCTTTAAACTCACGTACTTTGACCTGGAGTTGTGTTTACATCTAAATTTCCACATGTTCATGTAGCTTTTCCATTTGTTCAGGCTGGTACTTTTCCAGCACGACTATAATAATGTGCTCATGCACTGATCGATGCATGAGGATACAAGGAAAGGAAACAAGGACAGTGAGAGGCTCTCACACTGAGCTGAAAAGAGACCTGAGAGCTGTGCCATTTACCACTCTACTAATAAAAATAAATGCGTATTCTCAGATGCTTCATTTTTTACAGTGGTGTACACAGTCAGGCTCCATGCAGAGGAACAAATATCTTTGTGAAGGCAAAGCTCTGGATTTACTGATTATCTTCCTACTCTCTACGGCCACGGGCTGTGGGGAAAGACTAAAAGGATGAGACAGAGGACACAAGCAGCTGAAATGAGTTTCCTCTGAAGGGTGTCTGGTACTCAGTATGACAAGGTACACAAAGGCAATATATCCATATTTTTAACTGGACTTGAAAAGAATGTATTGGTAGATCTCCAGTTAAGTTAATTTCATAGGTGAATGGGTTCGCAAATTAGGGCCTCGTGCCTTACAGCTGCAGCATGTCCACTGTAATGAATAGTTCTTATGCCCCTTTTGTAAAATGCTTTAAATTATGTACAATCAGAGCCAACAACTGCCTGGAAAGTGAAAATACATTATAAAGTTAAAAAGCTCATTACTTTTTTTCTGCATATTGTTTTATAAAGGCATACAGCTTCCTCAGAATGAAAGAGGGATTATTTGAAGGACATAAACAGCCGTGGTAAGATGCCCATATTTTCTCAAAGACGAGGAGATTTATTATTTATCCTAATTTTACTAAAACTATCCTCCTACAGTCTGTCCATAATGTCAATGTGTTGCTCTGATTAGACATCAATGCAGCTAGTCAAAGCAGGTACCTTCCCTGTTTAACCAGGCCAGTCATTAAAGTCATCAGATGTACATAATTCCAGCCACTGTGATAATCTAAAAGAAAACCTTTCTTACAGAGTTTTATTAACTGTTTTGTTATCTTCATATTGATACACACATATAAAAATACATATACTTTTTATTTCTATTAGAACTAAAGATAACATCACAATTTAATATCTCACTGTACTGTAAAGCATTTTTGGTTCCTTTTCAGCACAAGCTTCCTCTGCTACTGCAAGAGTACGAAGGTTAGATTTAGATGACTTCTACTGTAATGAAATTACTGTAACTGTGCACATCTAAGAACATCCCAACATAAAACGCTGCCTCTTGTGGTCAAAGCTGAAATCACATTTCCAGGGGGTAATTACAAAAGGTACCTTTAACAGCGCCAAGTCAACACTCACAACCCCAAAACCGCAGAGAATAACGGGGCTGCACAGAGAGGCCACCAACAGCCTTCCCCAGGGGGGGAAACCATCAGACAAAATAAGTCCTAACACTTCAGTCTGTCTCACATCGATCTTTAACACATAACAACCGAACACTAGGTGGACAACACCCCTATCAATCATCATCGGGGTCTGAAATTAAAAGTCAAAAAGCTTAAAATCACCCAGCAGCAGGTTTGGTAACGTTATCTGGGTTAGCATCTCGCCAAGGCTACCAGAGCTAGCGACAACTGCTGCCGAACAGTTAACAGCTTTAATGTAAAGTCACTCGGTTTAAAAAGTTACCCGGTTACCCATCTGTCCACGCCAGAGTGCCGCTGGGTTTCTGCGGACTGTTATACCAGCAAAGGAGCATTTTTCTTTGATAATTTGACATTTAACCGCTAGCTAATCCGAAACATACGTGGTTTTAACTACTCCGTAGAGCACCAACAATCCACCAGTTTTAGCCCAATATTAAATATCTATAGGTACTCTGATCCAAGTTTATAGTTAATCTGTGTCGGTAATATATTCATATAAATTCGGCCTGTTAATAGTCCAACTTTTATTTAAATGGTAACCAGTTTCTTTTTTTCTTATCCACGTCTCACTTTTCCAATTTGAAGCATTCAGTTGAGACACAGTTCCTTGCATTCCTGGCACTGTAGCACGCCGAATTGAAAACTAAACTTCAACGACTATGAAAATGTTTTGAGTCCTCTCATGCACTGGGTGTTACATTAAAAACGATACAAAAAATCATAAATTGCTGTAATTTTGCCTGGCGTTTGGCGTGACGTTGTCTGGTTGCTAGCAGCTAGCTTTAGCTCGTTCTGAAGGCACACCCTGCCTCTTTCTCCGGGATTAAAGCTACCATTCCCGCGAATATACCTCTTTCCTGTCCTGGAGACACTCCAACACCGCCAGGTTGTTGTTCCAGGAGTGTTTGGGGCAAAGCCGGGTCAGGTCGTCTCTGCACACCGCCTCCTCAGCCAACTTCCAGCCGGTAGAGCGCCTCCGAGACAGCGAGGCCCCGGCGCCTTGGTTCCTCTCCTCGACTCCAGGGTTCCCCGCAGCGGCCCCCAGACCTCCGACTGGGTTCTGCATTTTATCGACACCGGCAATAAGTTTGGAAATAGCTTTGTTTTGAGCTTGAATCGGATGTACAAACAAAAAGATGCACATCAAGAGCAGGAGCAGAGGAACACGTATGCAGTCCGCCATCTTCACAGAGCCAGTCAGCCTGCTGCTGCCTTCAGGAGCTGTCGGAAATATGGGAACTGAGGATAAAGTTCCAGACAGATTGTTTTCTTCTAGTGAATAGTTCATAAATATTTAATAAGTCCTCGTGTGTTCATGCTGTGAGTCATCCAGCCATGGAAATGACTCTTCCCGGCATTCTTTATCATATTAGTTTAGTGTAAAGTTTTTTATAAAGCTAATTAGTTAAATTAAAACCTGTGAACACTGTGTGAAAACTTGATGTGTAACATCATGGTTCAGAGCAGTTCAGTTACTACTGTTCCAGTTTAATTGGTGAGATCTGTTTACACCTCCCAGTCCGGATTAAAGCTGCACATTTGGTCATGTTTCCTCTGCCTGGAAGTATGTTATGATTAAAGACCTTTCAGTCACAAGACTGCTGCATTTGTTAAGCTCACAATAACTTATTTGATTTCAAATTCATATGCGTGACTTTAAAGCCGGGTGCTACTAATGTTGTGACGTGCAGAGTATCAGCCTGAGAACGGAGATGGATCCAGGCTGTTTTCAGGGGATGCTTTTTATTTCAGGAAAGAACACAACACGACTGTCTCAGTCACGTGTGAACGTGAAACACACATGTAATGGTAAATTTGGAGCACTTTCAACTGATTCATGTCTTAAAATGAAAGTGTTATAGTGGATGTTATGGAAATAAATAATTGTAATGGGTATTTTCATGGCAGACTTTTCGAAGTGTGCATTGAAACAGAAACAAAACCTCAGTGCTTCTCAAATATCATTAAATATCATCAGCTCGGCATTTTCAGCCCTCAGGAGATGTATGGTGGATCTCTTTATTAGCAGAACTCTTCTTCTTTTGGCTGCTCCGTTTAAGGGTCACCATATACGATCATCTGCCTCCATTTTACCCTATCCCTGTGCTAAGGATAGCGACACAGCGACTCTGCGGTTTCCTTTAAGGTAAACACATAAAAAATTAACTAATTAGAAATAATAAGCTTAAGCTTAATTCAAAATAATTAAAGAATAATTAAATAATCAGAGTAGTAATTTCTAGTAAAATCTAGTCGCAGAGGTTGTTTTTTTTTAAAAATGTTGTTTTCTTATTACATGCACCTTTAATAACAGCTGAAAACATGTAAAAATTATAAGCTGTGTCCAAAGCTGTGGTACTGCACACAAGAAACCACTTAAACTTAAGTGATGTGCCACCCAGGATCAATCAAGCCCTGAGTTCAGACAGGATATTTTTTAATAAGAAAGTTAAGATTTTAGGAATAACACAAAGACAAACAGTAGTCAAACGTGCATTGAAATGATGTTGCATGCCTGTTGTGTGGTGTTAGTTCAGCAGGCATTACACACACGCAGGTAGGAACAGAGGATTACCGGAGATAACTCCTTTCTTTATTTTTATTTTTCTTCTTTTTAAATACCACAACCAGAACAACACACTCTCTAGCGCCCTCTAGCGCTTCTGGTAAATGCATCTACAGAACAAATGCAATAATGTGTGGACACAACATCTCCCCCTTTGAACAAGGATTTCTTATGTGAACCTGACTTCATCATTCTGATGTATGTCACCTAATACACGTTTAACATATTTCACATTACTCAGTAACATTCACTTTCCCATGACAAAGTCTTGGGTCCAGCAAGGTGGGTTCCTCATCCTGGTGGGCCTAAGCCTACTATCAGACTCAGAGTTAGATGCTAGATCAGTTCCTGGTTTATGACAGTCCATTGTTGTGTCAGAATCAGTACCTGTGTTCAGCTCTGACAGAGC